TCTTATCATCTCATTCCTACTTTGGACAAACTGGCAGGCTACCGAATGTAGCCTGCCCACACGGCAGAGTCTGGCAAACTCCCTGTGGCGTACCCAATATGCCAAATACCAGTAACAATGATGGGTCTCATTCTCCTAAAGAGCCTTGAATATAATCTCAGGGCTAGGATGAAGGAGACATTACTGGGGCCTGCTCGAGGCAATCTACGATTAACAGGATGATTTGTGATTGTGATTGTGATTGTAAAGGCAGATTTATTACCATGTGACTCTGACCACGGAGGCAGGCCCAATCCATTGCTTTGAAATAGATAGCTGTATATATTTGCTCCACTTGAGAATTCTGTTTAGAGAACATTATTTTAGTCTTCTTTCTTTTTTGACCTCCATAAAGAGGGAAAAGTGAGAAAGATATTCATATACTGTTACTATCTATGCAGGGTCAAGCAAAATGCCAGGCCCTGGACGTGGATTATTTCATGGTATCCTTACAGGAACCTGATTATTATGATCTCTTCTCATAATCAAGGAAACACAGCCTTAAAGAGAATTAATAACTGTTAAAAAGTCCACATAATTAGCAAAAGTTTATTAGAACCTGTTGCTAGTGGTAGAGTTGACCAGTGGAGGAGAAGGGCTCTTCTGGTGGCTTATGAAGTGGGGAGGAAATAGGTGACAGCCTCAAGAAGGAGATCTATTGCTTTCCTCTCTATTTGCCTCAGTCACCTGAGAAAGTAACTGGAAAATTTAGGCCTGAGAGTCTGAGATGAGCCCCTGCAGAGCACAAATGAACATGTATTGCCATTCCCAAGAGACAGAAGTGAATCTGCAGTTGAAGTCCAATTGTTCTGCACGACTTGGGAGATGATCACTGCTGCCCAACTTATCTGGAAGCTGTGGAGTCAGTCTGGAGCAAGGAATTGCTCTTTGAAGGAAAGTAAAGTTAGTCCTGAAACATACCTGGGTTTTTCTGGTCTGTCGCCTTTCCCTCATCACTTAATCACTTAATCACTTAACTTCCCGTTAGTCGTCGATTTGCTCGAGCGGGCGCCAGTAACGTCTCCATTTGTCCCTGTCGTGTGCTAGTGTAGCCCAATGGCATCTCTTTGCTCCGGGAACATGGAGGGCCTCAAACCGATCGTTCATGATCTTGACAAAGAAGTCTGACCATCTGGTAGGTGGGCAGCCACGCGGTCTCTTGACATCCCGTGGAATCCAATCAGTAACAGCTCTAGTCCAACGGTCGTCTTTAAATCTCATTACGTGACCAGCCCATCTGATTTTCGACACCTTGGCAAATGAGACAGCGTCCCTGATCCTTGATCGTCGACGGATGTCAGAACTCCGGATTCGTTCTCTCATTTGAGTGAAACGTGATATTCCAAGCATAGCTCTTTCTATTCTTCTTTGGGAGACCTGAATGGCGTTCTCATCTTGTTTGCGTAGGGCCCAGGTCTCTGAGGCATATGTTAATGCAGGAAGAACAGTGGAATCAAAGAGATGTGCCCGGAGCCGGAGGTTCTTCATCCTCTTAGCTATTTCTTCGACGTTCTTGAAGGCGTTCCAAGCCGCTCTCTTCCTCCTGCGCAGCTCGGGTGCCAGGTCATTTGTCATGTTGACCTCTCGACCTAGGTAGACATAGCTGTTGCATTCGGAGATGGTCGTTCCATTGAGAGCGAATGGGGCGTCAGGAACAAGGCTGTTTCTCATAAACATTGTCTTCGTAAGATTCAGCTGTAGTCCTACCTTTCCACACTCACGGTCAAAGTCGGCCAGCATTTCCCTCATAGAAAAGAATTTCAGAACTGAATCCTCAGAAAACCCAGGTATGCAGGACTTGTGAATGAAAACTCCAGATTCAACAAAACTGGGAATGGGTGACCTCCCCCTGGTCTCCCTGTTTCCAGCAACTTGGCAGTCATGCCCATAAGCCCCTTATGGTTGGCACCAGATAATCTCATCAATGGCCATGATCCAGAGATGCATTATAAATCTCTCAGAAGAGAGCATAAAACGACTCGCCGTAGCCATGCTGTTCGATCCTGCACCAGGATGTTTCATTCAGGGCAACCCAGAGGGGAGCGGGTGAGTTCCCTTTTTCTTCCTAAAGAACCAGCCCTGGTAGCCAAAAACCTCCAGAACACAACCGCTGCTATGCTCACGCCTGCTCTCCACTCCCACAGTGAACCTATTCCTGAACCACGAAGCCACAAATGCGGCCGCATGATAGCTCATATCTCACACCACTCATACTTCAAGAGTAGGTACCATATTTGATTGGGTTTAAAGTAGAAGACAACCAATCTTAGGGGGGGATATATTTTTTACAAATATTTACATATATATGTGTGTACAGACACACACACACATACATATATATATCACTGTCACTGTCACTGCCCTCCTGTTGTTCATCAATTTGCTCGAGCAGGCGCAGTAACGTCTCCATTGTGACACTTGTTACTGTGTTTGGCATATCGAATATGTCATGGGTAGCCTGCCAGGCTTTGCTGTGTGGGCAAGATACTCTTGTTAGTTTGCCAGGCTCTCCAAAAGAGGTGGAGGAATAGAACCTGGGTTTGCCAGGTCGGCCGTGTGCAAGGCAAATGCTCTACCCACTGTGCTATGGTTCCAAGCCAAAAAAAATACACACACACACACACACACACACACACACACACACACATAAGGCTCAACCTTTAGCAACATGTTAGTGATTTCTTATAGGAGGTCATAATGGCCCCTCGGTGTAGTACAACAATCTTCACACAATTTCCTTTAAGGAAACTTTTTTGAATCATTTTCAGCAGTTTATTCATAACAAACAAATTATTTCAGTTCTGCTTTGGTTTGGGGTTTGGGGTTTGGGATGGCAACATCCAAAATATGGTGGTGGGAAGGTGAAATGGTGGTGGGATTGGTGTTTGACTATTAAATGTAATCAAGTATTGCGAACTACTTTATAAAAATAAAATTAAATTAAAAAAGGAAAGAATTTCAGGAGGAGACAAATAGCAAAATAAAACAAGTTTATTTGTGGAGGTGGGACTAAAGGAAAGGAAGCAGAGAGGTGGATTTGCATACGTGCTCAAGAGATTAATTCAACGTGGAAAGAGCCAGTGTAGGGGGGTCATTTCTCTCAAGTGGAGAAATGCACCCTAAAATGTGGAAGTAGACAAGAAAGGAGATGCAGGTAACATGTGTGTGCCTCTTCCTCTGCAAAGTTAGTTTAGACGTAGATTTCCTAAATTGCATGCTCCCCCCACCCCCATTTATTGTTCGGTGGTTGCTGAGAGGAAGAGCTTGGAGCAGTTGATGGTCTTCCTTGGATTTTTCTCACATGGCCTTTGTACCAACTGTAAGTCCCTGGGGCATCCAGCCTCCTTCCAATCAGGAAGCCACAGTACACATGAACTGGAATACTGAATCTCAGTGATTTTCTGGGCTCCTGAGAAAGGTCTTTTGTGTGAAAGGCCTTCATCCCTTTGTGCTGAGTTAGGTTCCAGACAATGTTTTACCTAGCATACAATATCAGAACCCCACTATCGTCCTGCCTGCCACAAACCCCATGTTGATTTGATCTGACTCCAAAATCCAGGTTTTTAAATCTAGTCTATACCAGTGGTTTTGAAAGCATGGTTCCCATCAGCCTCTTCTGGAATTGTGTTAGAAATCTAAGTTCTGTGTCTCATAACTTATACGTTGTGAACATAACTTTGAGACCCATCTACAGTTGTCCCTCAAAGATTTGGACATAACTTTTTAATTGTGCTCATTTATTCTCAGGAATGAGAAACTAGACATTTGAATTGTGGAGCTTCTCAAGAATTTCCAAATGGAGACTGTAGAGAAACAAAAGTCTACCACCCAAAAACTCTGTTTTGGGCAAAAGGCTAATTTCATAAGAGGAGTCCTAAGGCAGAAAGAGATTACCTTTGAGATATTCACATGTAAATGCCTCCCTTAGAAGACTATAGGAGGTTTTATTCCTACACCCCCAAGTGTGGCCAAATTCCCTCTCTTCCCCTGCCAAAAGATGGTGTCTAAGACCACATGGGTGAGTTACTGTGTATTGTTAATGTGTGTGTGTGTATACATATATATGTATAAAATCAGTATTTTTTTCTTCTCATAAAAAACAGTTCTTGGTCCTTAAACTAAATCCTTATCTTACTGAACTTGCTGACAGTGTTGTGGACTATCACAAATCTTCCTGATAAATCAAGCTCAGTTTTGCATAATTTTGGTCTCAGTCAGGCTTCTAATGAACTCTTCTACAACACCTATAATTCCATATTTACAGTGAAGCCTTCTAAACCCTGCTGTGTGTGTTGTGTGGAGCCCTGACTGTGCCAGATTCACAGCTGACATTTCTTTGTTATCTGGCTCCTCCTCAAAGCAGACCTGGACCTTCAAGTCTGTCTGTGGTTTTGGAAGATAAGAAAAAAGGCTTTAAAAAAAAGAAAAAAATAGTCTTCATTTCTTCAAGTCTTGTATTTGTCTCTGTCAGGTTATTTTTGTTTGATTTTCCCTGTGTTTATATTAATCAGCTGTATTCGCCAGTTCTACCAATTCATGCATATATTCTTGGTCATTCATTCCCTCATTTATTCAACAAATATATCCTGGTTTCTTGGTGACAGGCATGGTTTGCTGTGCTTATGTTTGAACAGTGAATTATAAATAAAGAAAATGGGCCTTCTCAGGGACGAGGATAGACAGATGTCCCCAAGGAGTATTAAAATCATGCCCTGGCGGGTAGGAACTTTGGGCAGAGAGAGGGAGGTCGATCTCCTTGACTATCAGGAAAAACTTTTGCAATTGCAGAATTAAACAGTGACTAGATAAGTGAAGAGAATGGTGGCAATGATAAGGAAGGGTGCTCAGCAGAGAGGTTCACATGTAGGACTATCTGGTTAATATAGTAGGTCTGGCATGAGAAGGACCAAAGAAACTTCTGTGTGGCCAAAGCTCTACGTGTGAGGTGGACGGGAAGGGAGATGAGGTACCAGAGGAAGAGGAAGACTGAAGGTAAAACTTATGAACCCCACAGACCTGATTACAAAGACTGGACTTTGTCCTTAGGGAAGTGGGAAAGCACTTTTAGAGGAAGACTTTCTTTTTTACACATTCATAAATGTTGATTATTGTATTCAAGATCACATTAAGGCACCTTGGGCTCCTTGGTGGTGGTTCTTGCCCTTTTCCTCCTGATCTTCCCCTGGGGATCCATGCAGTCTCTGTCCCACACTCTACCAGGTCCCACCCAGTGAGAGTGGGTGCGAGCAGTCAACCAGACCAGTAGACAGGGTGGTTCGATCATTTGCATTGCTTTCGTTGCCCCAGGAACAGAAGTAGCTCCACTTTAGAGACCTGCCTGCCTTCAGCATTGTCTTCTGCTCTTTGCTGCAGGGTGCCTGTCCTTGCTGGTGACAGTCCAGCACACTGAGCGCTATGTCACCCTATTTGCTTCTGTCATCCTCAAATGTGACTATACCACCTCAGCCCAGCTCCAGGATGTGGTGGTGACATGGCGCTTCAAGTCCTTCTGCAAAGACCCCATCTTTGACTACTACTCTGCATGTAAGTGCCTCCCCCTCTGGTGTTCCTTGGGGCCCCCTGGGATGTATGTCCAGGAGGATGCTAGAATTATTTAGGATCACAAATCCTAATTTTGTGAAGAAGTCACAAATATCAGTTAATATCACCTTTCCACCCTTAATCCCTACCCTACCCCCCATTTCATAAATAGGCATAACCAAGGTCAGTGAAGTACCTTATTCAATGCTCCATACTACTTCAAAATGCATCCCCCAGCTTGTTCTAAAAGAATTTAAGTCTACACAGCCACCAAGTTAAAGATAGATACAGTTCTGCCTCCCGGCCCATTCCTAGTTGCCCTCCAGCGCACTGAGGTGGGCTGCCTCCTGGATCCACACTCTTTAGGCTACAGACAAGAGGCCCACACTTCCAAACACCTGGAGTGACACCTGCTGTGAGTCTTCCACCTGCCCTTCCCTTCTCCAGCCAGCCTTCCTAGATGGTCCTCTCTGCTGCTGAAACATTGTCTTAGATTGGTGGTGAGCCCATTCCTCGGGGCAGCCCACTATTCTTGAGCAGTTGTGCATGTGTCCAGTGGCCCCCTATGCTCACCCACAGGTTAGCCTCGGTAACATCTGCCCTTTTATGTCAGTTCTGCTACCTGGAACCAAAGCACTTTCCTAGTAGCCCACTCTGCTTCTTATAAGGAACCCAGTTTCTTATCCTTGATTTCTTTTCCATTTTTGAGCCATACTAAAAATATAGCTCAAAAACCAAAAGCCATACTCCAAAACCAGGAATAAACCCTGAGCACTTACTCCTGGCTCTGTACTCAGAGATCACTCCTGGCAGATTCCATAGGTGGTTCCAGGGATTTAACCAAGGTCAACACTATAGAAGACAAGCGCCCAACTACTTTACTATCACTCTGTCCCCACCCACCCCTGACAGTTAATCTTGTAGTAAGCTTGAAAACAGAAGCCCATACCCTAATGGTAAGAAGGAATTGCCATTGCTGAGATGAAGAAATGGAAGAGAGACTTTAATTATACCTCCTTTAGAGGTAGATACATTGAGACTAATGTCTCACAATACCAACCCCAAGACCTATTGGAGCCACCAGCTAACGTTGACATTTATTGTTCCCTACAGACTGTTCTTTAAATGGAAACTTTGTTTCTTGGCCTTACTGCTACTGAAAGGGAAGATGCCTAGAAGGCAGTTGGTGGAAGGCCGCTGACTTTTGCAAGCCTCCAATTTAATAGTCCTCAAGTATATTATTGTAAGAGCAGGTGGATGAACCCTCGGGGGTCAAAATATGGCAAGACAAAATATGGCAAGTTGGGATGGAAGATGGGGTTGTAGGCAGAATTTGGAAACAGTTTGGGGGGTCTGGAGACTTGCTGCTCCACTGCGTTTTGTTGGCATTTTCTAGGAGCTCATTAGAAACAAAGAACCTCAGTTCCCCACTTCAGATCTGCATAATTAGTATCCTCAAGTTCAACAAGATTTCGAGGAGAGCAGAGGCCCAGAGAAGCCTGAGCTTCTCTGCTCCAGGGACCAGTAAGAGCACCTTCTCCAAGAGAATTCCATGGTGTGTAACTTAGTGTGTTCTCTTTCCTCAGCATACCAGGCAGCTCTCTCCCTGGGCCAGGATCCATCCAATGATTGCAATGACAACCAGCGAGAGGTGCGAATTGTGGCCCAGAGGCGGGGGCAGAATGAGCCTGTGCTGGGGGTGGATTACCGGCAGCGCAAGATCACCATCCAGAACCGTGAGTGTGGGGGCGCTGGCAGGGAACTGGGGTGGTGAAGGCCAACCCTCGCAGGCTGAGTCATTGTGGGGGTTTCCCCTTCTCACTGCTGCTTGCTGCTCTCCTTAGCCACTGTCAGTGTTTGAGGAAAGTGTGGATACAGAGAATGAGCTGCTGCATCTTGAAGACGCTTCCCTGGCTCTGGTTTCTGCATCCGAGGGGCCATCCTCTAGCTTTGGCTGTAAGATCTACCTGAGATTCAGTGATTCAGGACTAATGTGTGTCTCAGGTTTCTGAAACGCTTCTGTGAATTTCTCTCAGTGCCTGCTTAAACCCCATACCCCTTAGATCCCTCGAGGCACTCCTGTTGCCCATATCTAAGGAAATATGGACTTCCAAGTACATGAACACTTTAAAACTATCACTCTCTACAAAGCAGAAAGAAGTTTGGACTTAAACTCGAAGATCTGATGGGTGTCCCTTTGCTTTCACTTACTAGTTCAGGGACAATAACGGGTCAGTTATTTTCTCTGACCTCTAAGGAGATGAGCCTAACGGTATGTCTTGCCCCACACTGCAGTATTTGGTGTGCTGCCTGGGAGCTATGTCTACAGCTTATCTATTCTTTGTGCCTGAACAGGGATTAGTAGTTTGGTCCCTTGCTCTGGAGTCAATTCTCAATCTACATCTACAGAGTGTGTGGATTTGGGGAAGTCCCTTTAATTTTTTTCAGCCTCAATTACCATAAAATGAAACTTGTTATGATATCTATCTCCTAGAGAGTTGAAAGCATTGAATGAGATTTTATGTGTAAAGTGCTTAGCACACAGTAAGTGGGCAGTGAAATTTAGTTGTGACCATTCAGCACACTTCTGGATAGAGCTAATGCCCCACATTCCTAACTTATAATGCAGGATTGTTGTGATAGGTTATTGGCACAGAACACAATCTGTTTGAATGAGCTTTATGTGTTGTGTCAAACAAACATTTGCTGGTTAAAAGAAAAAAATGGGGGGGGGGCTGAACCGATAGCACAGTGGGTAGGGCATTTGCCTTGCACGTGGCCAACCCAGGTTCAATTCCCAGCATCCCATATGGTCCCCCAAGCACCCCCAGGAGTAATTCCTGAGTGCGTGAACCAGGAGTAGCCCTTATGCGTTTCTGGGTATGACCCAAAAAGAAAAAAAAATTGGGCAAACTATACCCAGAATACCACACAGAGTCCCCACAGCATCTGTGTGAGGAAGTCAGCATGAACCCTATAATTATTTTAAGTAGATATTTTTTATTCTTTAAAGGTAAAGGTAAAAGGTAAAGGCCCTCCCGTTGATCGTCGATTTGCTCGAGCGGGTCCAGTAACGTCTCCATTGGAGACTTTGTTGTTACTGTGTTTGGCATATCGAATACTCTCGTTAGCTTGCCGGGCTCTCCGAGAGGGGCGGAGGAATCGAACTCGGGTCGGCCATGTTGGCCGCTTGTAAGGCAAACGCCCTACCCACTGTGCTATCGCTCCAGCCTTATTCTTTAAATTTTATTTTATTTATTTTAATAAATCACCATGAGATACAGTTACAGACTTACAAACTTTCGTGATTACATTGCAGTCATACAATTATCGAGCACCCATCCCTCCACCAGTGCCATTCTCCACCACTAATGTTCCCAGTATCCCTCCCACCACACCCACCTCATACCACCCCCCTTTCGCTCCCCCCTCCACTCAGTCCCTACCTCTGTAGCAGGTACTTCTTTCCCTTTTACTCTCTCTTTCTCTCTCTCTCTCTCTCACCTTTTGGGTGTTATGGTTTGCAATACAGGTACGAAGTGGCCATCATGGCTGGTCCATAGTCTACTTTCAGCACACATCTCCCATGCCAAGCAATTCCTCGAAGTATCATTTACTTAGTGGTCCTTTCTCTATCCCAGCTGCCATTTCCCCCAGTATGTGAGGCCCGCTTCTGCTTCATGGAGCCATCCTCCTGGCCCTTATCTAAGTAGATAATTTTTTAAAAAGCCAACTTAACAATTTTTCCTATTCAATAATGACACAGCTGTAATACTTAGGCCTGGTTCTTTTGCATTCATTCCTAAGTCAACCCCTGACATTTCAGTCTTTAGTAATATCTGTCCTTTTCTTATCATCTCAAGATGCATTCTCAAAAATTGATTCCACAGAATTATTCAGATCTAACCCCACATCTTAATGGCTCTAATTAGAAAGTCTTTACATTTTGTGAAAAATTAGTCCCCACAGATGATAGTTCTTGCCTTTGATTTTTCCCTAATTTTGTGTAGTGTCATCCATCACTTTCGTTCCTGTCCACCTTGGATCAAATGGTGTCTCTTTCTTACTTTCATAAGAAAGTAACATATGTGACTGGGGAGATACCATGAACGACTGGTAAAGGTAAAGGTAAAGGCCCTCCCGTTGATCATCAATTTGCTCGAGCGGGCCCAGTAACATCTCCATTGGAGACTTTGTTGTTACTGTGTCTGGCATATCGAATACTCTCGGTAGCTTGCCGGGCTCTCCGAGAGGGGCGGAGGAATCGAACTCAGGTCGGCCATGTTGGCTGCTTGTAAGGCGAATGCCCTACTGCCGTGCTATCGCTCCAGCCCTACGAACGACTGGAGCACATGTCTTATACATGGAAGGTCTAAATTTGATCTCCAGTATCATATGGTCCTCCCAGTACTGCCAGACCAAATATTGCCACACAACCAAGCCAAAGATTGCCAGGAGTGACCTTTAGTTCCCCAGAATGACTTGGAATAGCCCCCCCGCCCCTCTCAAACACACACACACACACACACACACACACACACACACACACACACAAAGGTTTTCCTAAAGTTTCTCTTTCTACCTCCAGGTTTGTCGTGACTTATGGAGCCCTTGTTCTCTAACAGTTCTATACCTGTGTTTATATTATTTGAGATGACTCTTCATAAATTAATCATTAATCATTTAAAACCGAAATCTAAGTATACTCCTTACTATGACATTTCTGAATTAATCTTTATGTCTCTAATAAGACTTAAGGACAGATTAACAATAAACAACCAATATTGAGGGGAAGTTTTCTCCCAAAGTACTTTCACCGTTCTTCCTATTTTGGGGTAGCACTTGTTTCTGGGAAATGCTGTGGGTTTGGAAAATCGTCAGTAGGAAAAATGTGATAGGGATTGACGTAGAAAGAGAAGGAAACAGAAGTTGAAATTAGCTCTAGTATAGCATGACTTCTTATTTTCGTTTCATTTCCTCAATAAGTATCTCTCCACAAATATCATAATATTTGCAAATGTGACTACAAATTAAACGACTCTCTAGTGTGAGGGTGTGTGTGAAGCTAAAGATGTCCTCTGAACTTGCTACATGTAAGATAGCAGGGACATGGAGACTGCCCTAAGGACAACAGCTGGACTTTAATTCTCTCAGGACAGAGATGATTATTTTCTTCTTTGGATCTTCCATGTCTGAAATGGATCTGAGCTCACCAAAGGGCTCTTAAATCAACATTCATTACATATACTAAAATTTTAAAATGTACCATTCCTCTGTCTCTCAGTCTTCATGGGGTAGCACAGCATTTGGTCTCAGGAGAACTGAAATTGTTTTCTTGAGTAATTTTTTCCATTAAAATACTAGAATTTCATCCTTACTCATTCAAACTCATCTCATAACTCATCACTTTAAAATACAGAAATAACTGATTATTTTAGGCTTGTGAAGGATCCAGACTATGTAGTGTGCCATCCAGTTTGGACCAGGAGAGTACAATTTAATTATGAGAGGATCAGCTTTGAGGATTAAGATAAGTTTGAAATTACCCATGCTAAGCATTATCTCTGTGTTCTGAGAACAGTTCCTTTTCCTCCTGAATTACTTATTTCCATATCTAAAATGTAGCTAATAGTCATATGATTGCAACTAATAGTCAAAATATTAGTGACTTAAACAATAAAGAAGTTTAATTTTTTTTTCTGATATGTTAATTTGGAGGTAGAAAGCGAACAAGCAATGTGGATCGCCTGTTTCCCTGGGTCCTCACTGAGTACAGCTCACTGGTTAAAGGTCTTCTTCTTTCTACGGCTCAAGAAGGCAGCCAGATATTTGTTTTCAAATAGCAGAGTAGGAGAAAAGGACAAATGTTTTGAGGAGAAGAAAGAGATCAAAGCTTTTTTAAAGAGAATCCTGTGAGCCATACTTCTGCTTACCTCCTACATGCCAGAAATGAGTCCCATGTCCATGTCCATCTTTAGGGAAAGATGGAAATTACTGACTTTATTCTGGGGGGACAACATACCTAGCTCCAAACTCTATGACTAGAGGAAGAAGAAAGTTAAACACTGGGAGACAACTGGTAATCTCTGTCCAATTTTCTGATAGAGTTGAAGTAGGCATTAAGTGAGGAGATGGAGCAAAATCCTTATCTGCAGGGGATCAGTGAATGGTCACTTCTGCCATTATTTTGCCATTTGGAGAAAGGAAGATCTAAAGAAAGAAATGGAAGCCTTTGTATAAACTACACGAGACCTTCTTAGGATGTAGAAGACTAAGTTATGGGATCTTAGAGCTGCTATAGATCAAGAACTATGGCAACCTTCCCTTCTAAAGTACTGGTACTTTCCCCTTTTTTTCCTACCAGGAGCAGATCTTGTGATCAATGAAGTGATGTGGTGGGATCATGGAGTGTATTATTGCACCATTGAGGCTCCAGGGGACACATCAGGGGACCCAGACAAAGAGGTGAAACTCATCGTCCTGCGTAAGTGTTGCCGGAACATTTCATTTGACTGCCCCAGCTCTACAGCACTTTTCCATATGTGAGGGAAGAAATAAAGCCAGAAGTGAGCAAGTCCAGTTTTTTGTTGTTAGATTTCCAAATTCTACAGTTTCTTACCAGACTAATTTTCTTTTCCCAGTATATTTGACTAATCTTAATTTATAAATCAAGAGCTCGGTTTGTTAGGCCACTAGAAGGATGAAGGTGTAAACATTTCCTTACAGATTTAGTTCAGTCCCCACTGGGTTTCCTTCCTGCAGACTGGCTGACGGTGATCTTCATCATTCTGGGAGGCCTCCTGCTGCTACTGCTGATTGGAGTGTGCTGGTGCCAGTGCTGTCCTCAGTACTGCTGCTGTTACCTCCGATGCCCCTGCTGCCCCACGCGCTGCTGCTGCCCTGAGGAAGGTGAGGGAGATGGAAAGGCCTGGGATTGGAGCCCAGTTCCCAAGCAGATCAGCTGCCGGTGCCCAGTCAGATCCTTGGGTTCTATTCAGTTTTCCTCCATGCCCTTCTCTCTTAAAGGTTCCAAAGGTCCTTGGTCTAAACCTAGAAAAATAATCCTTTAATAGGAGTGAACTATTGAACCAAACAGAAGAACTTGTAATCGTTCACATCCTCTCTGCCCAAGCAGACGAGTCTACTACTGATAACATCTTTTTCCCAGCCCCAATGGGTCTGTGCTTCAGCATTCGCTCCTAGCTCAGACCTTGTTTGAACATGAAGTGGCTAACGTAAGTAGTTTCAATGACAGTGAGAGACAGGTCATCCTTATAAAGGACTTGAAGAAGACAAAAGAGGAGAGAGGTATCCTTTCAGAGTGGTGGTTTATCCAAACGTAAGATCACCTCAAGGCCCTACTGAAATTTACGTTTTGGCTCCACACCCAGGGTTTCTCATTTAATGAGACTGGAGTAAGCCTGAAACTTTATATTCTCACTTTCCAGTTGATGCCAGCTGCTTGGTCTGGCTAGCCTACTTTAAGATGCTCTATTTTATGTAAAGGAAAAAATAATATAAGACTTTTCTCTAATGTAATCTGTCTTTGTGAATTTTTTCTAATTTTATTTTATTTTATTATTTTTAAAAAAATTTTTAGTAGTGAAAAACCCTGAGGTACAGTTGTAGACTTACAAGTTTTTGTGCTTGGGTTTCAGTTATACAATGATTGAGAACCCATCCCTCCCCTAGTGCCCATTCTCCCAAATAAAGGGTGTAATCTGTCTTTGGACTGAAATTTGACCTTTAAATTATGACATACCAAAAAAAAATCCCACTATGTAATTAATGGCAAAGGGAAAAGAATAAAAAATATTCTATAAACATATTCACTTGAGAAATAGATGGAGTGAAATCGTTTGCTTTAAGTGGAAAAAGATTCATTTTGTTTTTTCTTAATATATAGCATTTTCTTTTTCTGCTGACAGAAGTAAATTATTACATTGTAAGATATTTGAAATATTTAGAAATGATGACTATTCTGAGCATTCAGAGATAACTACTTTGGTCATTTTTGTCTATTTGAAAGAATATTCCTTTTTTTAGAAAAAGGAACAAAAAGGAATTGCCTCTCAAGATAGGAACAAAATCTAGCCTACTATATGTCAATGGTCTGAATCTGGTTTCAGGCCTGTGTTCTGAAGTGCCTGTCTTATGGGAAAAGAGAACTAACTTTTATTGGTTGTCTTCTGATTGGGGGCCCTCTACATGTATTTTTCTCTTGAATACTTACCACCCTAATAGGAAGGTATCATCACTATGAAATAAATGAGAATAATAATTATCAGAGTCACTGTCACTGGTGCAGTAATATGTAGAGTGAGATGAGAATAACCTTCCCAACAGCCTTCTCAGAATCCGGAGGTCAGTGGGATACTCAAAACATGACTGAGATCAAAATCAACCAATGGTAAAGTTATCTTCTCTCAAGTAAGCTGACAAGCAAGTGCTGGAGGAAAGTAGCTCCTCCAAGAGTGGTCAAAGCATAGAAGAGCTAGTAAAACTCAGGTATGTTGTCACAAATGACTCCTGGGCTTCATCAGATGAGGACACTTTCAGAGCGAATCATTAAGGCAAACTTTTCAGAGAAATCATGTTTGTAGGCGGAGAATCAAGACTAGGATAAAGTGAGGAAATTGAGGTTATCCCTGAGGAGTGATAGAATCAGGATTATTGTGGAAAGCAAGGCAAGGACACCTGACTTCTGAAGAGAGGGCTGCAGTAATTATGTCAAATATTATTATAGTACAGGAGAAGGGGGCAGCAGATACAAGCTCACCCCAACCTGCCTGGATTCCAGTAAATCAAAAATGTAAATTCAGGGTCAGAGATCGTACAGGGCTTAAGGGGCTTGTCTTACATGCCTCTGACCCTGGAAAGATGCCCAGCACTGTTTAGACCCCCAGCACTGGGAGTATCCCCTGATTACTGCTGAGTGTTACCTAAATACAGCCCCCTTCTCCCCTCAAAAGAATAAGAGAATTTTTTCTAAATCTAGTTGCAGCAGGAGCTACAGGAATGATATCAGTAATTCTTTTCCTTCTCCCACCCTCATCAGTCCCTACTTTCTAGTGAGATTTAACAGAGGACCACAAAGGGGGAAAATGAAAATGACGTCAAATTTTAGTAGCTCTTGATAGTTCACTGCATGCTAATAAACAACCCACAGTAGAAGTTAAGATGAAACATACTCATGTCGAACATTTTTCAATGAGACCTGGAAAAATAACTTTTCTCTCTAGATTATTTAGGAGCCTCACAGAACTCTGCTCTCACTCATCCTTTCTGGGTCACAGATTACACTGAAAATCTAAAAATGTATTATTTGCACCAGAACATCTCCATCTTCCTCAGGCCCTACAGAAGTGAGAACCAGAAAACTTTCCACAAATGCACACAGCTTGTTCACAGTAAGCCTTGGGCTCAATTGCTTGATCCACCTTGTCCAAGGCAGCATCCCTTTTTTCAGAAAAAAAATGATCTCTCATCAGCTGAAAGTGCTCGGTGGAGTAGCCAGGACTAGTGGTAAATGCCTCTTAGAGGAAGTGAGGCTACCAGCAGTCTAGGAAAGGTGTGGCAGGAGGAGGGCTACATGAGGTCAGTTGTACCTTCAGGTCTGACAGCGTGGGGCCAGCAAGCAGCTGCTGTTGGTTCCCTAAAGCTGCAATTATAAGAGTTCAGGGAGCGTGGGAGTCAAGGAAGTTCCTGAGAGTGTCACTGAAATCACTGACCAGACCAGGCAAAGGGGGTTGCAGCCTCTGTAAGAAAAAGTGAAAGGACTGTATGCCTCTGAGTCATAGAAGGGGAGTGAGTTCTGTGAAAAAGGAGAGGAAGGGAAAGGAAGGAAAAGCAGTTGAAGCACTTCTGGGGTATCACATGCAGATGAGTAGAGCCTCAGGGCTCTGATGACGATGATGATGGCTGCTGAGGAGAGCAGCCCAGCTCTGGAGAAAGGTAAGGTATTATCTATCATTTCTGTCCTGAAGAGAACATCTTTTTTTTTTCTTTTTGGGTTACACCCAGCAATGCTCAGAGGTTGCTCCCCGCTCTGCACTCAGGAATTACTCCTGGCAGCACTCGGCGGACCATATGGGATGCTGGGAATTGAACCTGGTTCGGCTGCGTGCAAGGCAAATGCCCTCCCCACTGTACTATTGCTCCAGCCTCAAGAGAACATCTTAAAGCAGTGAATTTCAACCATCAGATATGAGAAGGGGATTGGTTTACAGAAATTTCCTGCTGGTCTGTGAAAAAAATACATGTGCTCTTGAATCATATAGTGATAATATCATAAATATATAATATTATAAATATATATTATATATTATATATATTATACATATATATAAATATTTTTATTCTAAATAACATTTTCTGTGTGCCTCAGTGGTCTATGAAATATTTCTTTTAGTTCACTGGTCCACAGATATGAAAAAGTTGAAAACTACTGTCTTAAACAGTGTACTCACATTTTCCTAAGAAATGAAAATGAATGCCTTTCATGGTTTAGACTCAACATAGAACTTTGCCTCCTTTATGGCCTAAGGTAAAAGTGACTCCTAAAATATATGTATATATATATATTTATTAAAGCATTATAACCATGAGAGCCACTTACCTATTGCATATTTGCAGAAGACTGGGTTCAGTCTCAGGAACCTCACACAAAATCATGCAGTTAGTAAGTACAGAATTGAAAGTGAAATCTAAGGGACCCTCATAGCCTATATTTCAGAAAACCTGTCCCTAGGACTGTATTTCAAAACATGTTGCTGAGATTCCTCAATGACCAGCTCCAAGCTGAAAATCAGGGAACTTGATGATAAGCGCAGGTTTTCTTGTCTTGCGTTAACTGAAAGAGAATTTCTGTAGTTAGGCTCTATGTTTAAATTTTGTTTTGTTTTACTTGGGGGTGGAAACCTGGGGGTGCCAAAGGCTGCTCCTGGCTCTGTGCTCAGTTGCTCCCAGTGGTGCTCAGAGGGCCAAGCAGTGCCAAGGATCAAACCTGAGACCCCCACATGCAAAGCATACCTGCAGCCCTTTGAACTCCTCTCCAGAATTCTATTTTTAGCTATTTTATTAACGGTGTCCAAAGTCAACTTTACTCCATGAAGCTTCAAAGGTAACTAATATGGAATCTTGAACTTTTATTTCTGTTCCATGTTTCTTATTTGATGCCTGACTGATTCACCCACTGGGTCAATCAAAACTCCTTGATAAACTGGGCATACCATAAGATTATCTGCAGGACAGGGGAGCAGTGGAGAAGCTCTGAGACCATGTTTGCCGCTTCCATCTCTCCAGTTCCAGTGTATAGAGAAGGAAAGACTCTAAGGAAAAGGTTGTAAGAGCTAAAGGGAGAGCAAGTGAGTTCGCTCTGGGAATGTGTGAAAATTTTGATAAGAAAGCTTATGGATGAGCACAAAGGGTCTCCAACAATTTATCTATCTGTCTGTCTGTCTGTCTGTCTGTCTATTATTCTATTGTGTGTCAGGGGGACGTATTCCATTAATTTAAACAATCATTTGGGGAATAAGAAATGATCCAAGCGTTCTATTTTACTTTTACAAAACTGGGAAAGTAGGAGAAAGAAAAAGACAACAAAGGGTGTACCACATCAAGAAAACCAGGATTTGATGAGGAATTGAGGTTTGGGTGTTTGAGGTTTGAAGTCACACAAAAAAGAGTGAGAGACAGATGGGGTTGTTAGAAATGGAATCTAGTGGCCCTCCATCTTGTAAGCAAAATGGGTTTTGCAAGGTGTGTTGCTGCATGAAGAGAAAAGTAAAATACCTCAGGGAATGAATTTTGTTTGCTTCCTCCCAGAAAGCTACCAGAGAACTTGTAGTTTGCAAAAAGAGAAGAGGCTCGGGGCCCTACCCTGCTTCTGTCAATCAGGAGCTGGGAAGGTACCTCTCCCCTGCAACAGCTTCCTCTTCTGACTCCCACATTCAAAAATTTCTCTAATAATTCATTTGCTAATGTCAAGTGGCATTTTAAGCTAGACATTTCATGTGCTGATGGTGGCATTATTGGGCAGCTGGAGTAGGGAACAGGGGGCAATACCTGTCAAGAAAAAGGAGACAAAATTTTTCACTCTGTGGATTTCTCTTGGGAGCATCTGGTATAGTGAATGTTGGCATGTAGGTGTGACCACTGGGTGGGCTGCTGTAAGTTTGCATCTAACTTCCTCCAGGCTGGGCTGTGACTTACCATCAGGGTTGGAGCTCTGAGCATTTCTGGGGATGCTGCTGCAATCATTTTCTCTTGAGCAGGAAGTGTGTTTCACTGCAGCCACATGGGAAGCCACCATGAGGACCTTCTACCTGCTGGCTACAGCACATCCTCCACCTTGTGTAGCTGGGTCTAGAGTACCTGCTGTCTCTCTGCTGCTGCTGTGGCAGGTGGAAGTCTCTGGCACAGCTGCTGCTTCAGCAATGGCCACTAGACATGGGACACCAGGAGGAAGTGAGAGGTGTGAGGTTGGATGCCTGGGGCCAGCACTTCCTGAACAGAAACACAGTCTATTTCCTATGTGCACTGTACAGATGGGGGCCTGGAGTCATGAGGGGCATATGTCTCAATAACCTCCAAATAGCAGTTCAGAGATGAAAACACCTAAGTGCTTCTGTGTCTCCTTGACAGCTACGGGGAGTGGTGTGCTTTATACCAGCCACACCTGGGGAACTGAAGTGGTGTTTCTCTAGATTGTGCTGTTCTCCACATTTTTGGTAAATAAAATGGTATTTCCCATCTCCTGTTTCTGCTTTCCCTATATTTTTTTCAGAGATTCCTACTACTAAGAAGAAAAAAAATGGTTCAGCAATGAGAAAAGTAGAAAGGGTCTGCTGAGATCCCACTGTTTTTCTCCTTCCTGAAGCTCACAGACCAGCTAGAAATGTTCTTTGCACCCTCCTTCCTTTACCTGTTACCCTGTTCATTGGCATCAATATCGAAGTCCTTCTCTTTAGCTTTTTCCTCTCTGAGCAGGCAGCCTGGGCTTGTCTGGCTAGTCTACACTCTCTATTTCCTCTCAGTTCTTTTGTCTGTGGCCCAAGATTTCATTGCCAGTACATTTTGGAGCACATTGTGGATGGGTAGGAGCATTACAAGTTTTTGAGAAAAAGATTATACTCTCCCGGGGCACAGGCATTCCAACATTATTTCAGGAGTTTATCCCCAGCTACTTGCTAAAGGAACGGTTTGTTCCTGACTCCTTTGGCTCTTATTCCTAAGCCAGGGCTGCGAGGAGAGAAGCTGGCTTCTGGGTGAGCTAGGAGAGAAGTGACGGAGTGATGGGCCTTGCCCTGGGGGGTCAGCATTCTTCCCTCTTCCCCCACAGCCCTGGCCCGCCACCGCTACATGAAGCAGGCTCAGGCCCTAGGCCCTCAGATGATGGAAAAACCCCTGTATTGGGGGACGAACAGGAGCTCCCAGTTTTCATCTTACCCAATGAACCCACTGCTGCAGCGAGGTAAACCTTGCTAGGTGTTGGGGTGGGAGAGGGCACAGGTGAGCGGCTGGAGCACGGGGTACCTGTGGGGAAGGGGGCTTCAGGAGCAGTCTGGTGGGTATCTTTAGGAGTGAAACGGGGACGGGGCGAAGTAAGAGAAATCACGTGGCATTTGGGTGCCCCAATTCTAAGGAGAATGTTCGGGGCCAACTGGCTGCATACTCTTATTCTTGTTTCCGTTCAGATTTGTCCCTGAGATCCAGCCTCCCGCAGGTGCCGATGACCCAGACGACTGCTGTCCCTCCCGTTCCCAACGGCGTGTTGGAGTACCTGGAGAAAGAGCTACGGAGCCTCAACCCAGCCCAGCCTCTTGCTCCTGACCCCCAGCTCAGAGCTGTCCGTCCTAGCAGCATGCTGTCCTCCCTGGACTCGGAGGTCGTGGCGCGGAGGATCGTCCGCCTTCCCCCGCTGGCCCGAGGCCCGCCTTCCTCGCTGAGGACCAGCAGCTCTGCCCACCAGCACTGGCCCTCGGCAGGCCCCGCCCGGCCCCGGGATTCCAGGCTGGAGCGGAGGCAGCACCGCTACGCCGACTCCCACCTGGAGCTGCAGGATCGGGAGCCTCCGCGCTGGGTGAAGGAGCAAAGGGCGCCGAGCCAGCAGCGGAGTGGAGGGCACCCCAACTTCGGGCCGCGCGGCTCACCCACATCCCGGTCAGACTTGGACAGCCTCAGCGACGTCCCTTCCTCCAGCGAGCTCCCTCTGCGGCCCCGACCCCCCTGGGCCAGGAGCCGCTATGCGGAGAGGCCCCGCCGACCCAGTCCCCGCGGCAGCACCCAGAGGTGCCCGAGGCGCAGGCACCGGAGCTGCTCCCCACCCCTGCCCTCGGGCCTCAGCTCCTGGAGCTCGGAAGACGGGGAGAGGCTGCCCAGGAGCTGGAGAGCCCATCCTCGGCATCGCTCTCACTCCCCAAGTTGGCCCGAAGAGAAGCCGCCCAGCTACCGCTCTCTGGATGTCGTCTCAGGCAAGGATGGCAGGAAAAAAGGGAATGTGGAGAGGCGCTCGGTGAGCCTGGGGCATCCAGCTGAGGGTCGGGGGTCGGGAGAAAGTTCCCTCCAGCCGGGTGGGCTATCTCGCAGGCCGCCGCCGAGGGCGCAACTCTTGCGTTTGCACAGTTTGCACCATAGGCTTGGTAAGCTGCCTCTTAGGGCACCAGAAAGGACTTGGGAAGTGCAGGGTGCTAGGCGGGACAGAACAAATGCAGAGGGCAGGGGAGGGGGCTTCACACTTGGTGCTTTCCAAGGACCATCTCCTCCTTCTCCTCTGTCTCAGTCTCCCCCTCCTTGCTGACCTGTGAGGCAAGGACGCCCTCCCCCAACCCCAGAGGAGGAAACAGTCTCAGAATAACTAGGCACCTTGTGGGTGCTGGAACATCGGCCTTCCTGATTAAGGTTCTACTTCCTGTCACCGCCACTTGCTTTGATTTAGCAACCATATTTTCATACCCCGAATTAGACCCTGCAGCCTGACAGCAGAGGACGTCTGCACCCCACTTCTTATGCTGCACATGAGCGTGCAAGGGTGAGCCCTTAGAGACCCCTCTGTGATGGATCAGTAAACCGATTTCTCTTTTCTGTTTTTGGGCTACACCTGGCTGTGCTCAGGCTCAGGGCTTACTCCTGGCTCTGCATTCAGAGTCCCCTGAACCCCATCCATAATGGTACCGGGGATCTAATCAGAGGAGTTGACCGTGTGCTAGGAAAGTGCCTTACTTTCAGTACTGTTAAATGATTTAATAAAACTTAAATCTGGGCTGCAGAGAGCACCCAGAAGCCCTGAAACTCATGCCTTACGTGTTAAATTTGATCCCTGATAGCGGTCTCCAGACACTGTGAGACACATAGCCCCATAGCCCCTGAAAACCTTCTATATGGCTCTGATTTTCCCCCAAAGCATCACTGGGATAACCTGGTGGGCCCCAGCTGAGCCAGACTCAAGTAGTATTGTAGTGCCAGATCTGAGCACTGAACTCTCAGGCCTGTTCCACCAGGCAGAGTATCACCAGCCTCTGAGCACCACTGACAACTGTCCCCAACCCCTCAGACACTGTTACAGAAACATGATATGGGTCAAAGCTTCTGGTAACTGTGAATAGGTGAAGTGGCAGTGAATGCCAATCTTAACCTAGAGAGGGCACAAAGAGGTATGTGGGCCTTTTTGATCTCTGAATATAGACTTTGTAAAAGATGTATTTTAACGATCATAATTAACATACTAAAGTGACAGTATTCCTTTAACCATCATTTTGCAGTTATGCTGACACCACTCAAAACTATTCATGAACTACATTCAGAATTGACTTCAAGCCGCACACAAATATTTGTTGCTGTGATTTGATTTCAAAGTAATTGGAATTATTTTCTGTTTTCATTTCAGTTGAGATAAAGGGGTATCTTGTAGGCTCTGAGGAGCTTTTTAGTGCAGAAGGATGACATAGGGACGAGAATGTGAGTCTTTTACACACTTTGAAGTCTACAACTCGCATTTAGAATTCAGGTTCTGCTGTGATTTGTTAAGAAGCCAATCCCCTACATAACGTGCATGAAAGAACAGGTACTTACGAAGGCCACAGTGCTGAACTTTCCGATAACAACCTCAGTGAAAGCAGTTTAAAAAGGAAAGCAACCGATGAGGGAATTGGTGAAATCACTGTGGGTAGCTAGGTAGCTACACCACATTCTCGCAAATGTTCCTCCCTTGAAAAGAGCAAAGATCAGGAACAGTAAGAATTAGGAATATTCTTACTGAGTGATACCAAGCTTTGGACGTTTTATTTATTTATTTATTTTTTATTTTACTTGAATCACTGTGAGATAGACCTTTTCTAAGCTGTTCATGATGAAATTTCAATCAGTGTTCCAACACCCATCCCTCCACCAGTGTCCATTTCCCAGCACCAGTGCCCCCACATTCCCTCCCATCACGGCTCACCCCCCAGCCTGACTCTCTGGCAAGGGATTTTCTTCTCTCTCTGTCTCTGTCTCTCTGTCTCTGTCTTGCTCTCTCTGCCTCTTTCTCTCTCTTTCTCTTTCTCTCTTTTTGGGCATTGTGGTTTGCAATATTGATACTGAAAAGTTGTCAAGAATATTTCTTTACCTACTTTTAACACTCAGGTCTTGTCCAGTATGATCATGCCCAGCTATTATTGTCTTACTGGTCCATGTTACCTACCCTCCACCCCACACACACTTGTAGTTGATTCCAATCACTTACCAGTACTGCTTTGGACAATTTAAACAGCATTTCGTTTGATCTAAGTATCACCTGTGAGTTTAACACCATTATCTTCATTTTATAGACCTTAAAACTCTTCTCTCCATATTAGCAGTAGAAAAGTTACATCACCAAAACACAAAATTAGTCAGAACTAGGACAAATGCTGTAACTTTATTCACCTAGTGACTAAACTGTCTTTCACCTTCATTTTAATTTATAGAAAAATGTAAGTTGAAAGCCATTATTTGTCCCCAAACTCAAATCCTATTATCTTCTAAGTAAAATCTTATCTTTCCTTTATTTTACATCTCTTTAAGTTATATTTGTGGTTTCTTCTAAGTAAGAAGAGATTAAAAGTAAACTCTTTCTTTCACTTAATCTTTGAAAACAGCCCTATTCCCATGAGGCAAGCAAAAGTAGCATGCTACAAGCCACTCAGCCAGGGCAGAGCATCTGGCTCTCAAATCTGTGCCCTTATCAATAAAGGGAAATCATAAAAGGTAATGACATTTGCTGGTGAATTCCGCTCTTTCTCATATGTTGAAAGTATCACAGCTTCCAGCTTCCTTTATCATTAAAATATGTACACAAATAATTCTAGCACAAGCATACCAATTTTTTTCTTCTCTTTCTTTATTTTTCTTTTTTTTTTTCTTTTTGGATCACATCCAGCAAAGCTCAGGCGTTACTCCTGGCTCCGCATTCAGGAATTTCTCCTGGCTTTCCTGGGAAGACCTTATGGATGCCGGGATCGACTTGGGGTCAGCCATGTGCAAGGCAAACACTCACCCCACTGTACTATCACTGTGGTACCTGTACCAAATTTCTATTGCAAGGTTGCTTGTAAGATCCAAGAATTTTGCTGAAGTATAAAAGCCTTTATTGTTTTGGATCTCTTGTCTCTGAGCTTATCTCTGAAAGAGTTATTATCATATTTGGAGAAACTGGAGGCCTAGGACCAAACCTTGATTTGGATGATTGGTTGAGGGCACAGTCTTTTTATTTGTAACCTGAACTTTAAAGCCTTTCTTTGGGCCAGTCTTTTCACCTCAGAAGTTGTTTCCTGCACACCTTCTTTGGAGCTTGCAGCTTCATAAGTCATAACACACTTGAGCCACTAGATGGTGACTTTTGGTTATGTATAACTTCAAGTTTCTCAAGGTAATTAAGATGTTACTCAAGGTAATTAAGATGTATTACTATTAAGTCAAACTTTCAACTGTTAGTTTTGTAACAACAAATATTTAAACTATTGTATTAACTAATCAGAATAATATGAATCAAAAAAAATTTTGACTCACATAAAATATCTCACTAGCAATGTTGAATGAGTGGGTGTCAAAACCAAGAATTTCTGTGGCAACCTGAAACAGATGAAGACCCATTCTCTGAGTGCTGCTCACAGAAAAAGAAAATCAAAGGAATCTTCCATTTAACTCCAGAACCGAAACTCTAGCCGAAATCTTCTCCTTTAAGATCTGGGGATTTTAAGATCTGGATAGTTTCATTCCACCATGTGTTGCAACTTCAGAAATATAAACAAGTCACATTGAACTTAGACTCCAGTGTTTTACATTGAGTGGGTTCTATTCCTATTAATTGTGTTCTCTTTTCAGTCTTGACCTAAAAAAGGACTTTTTAGGTTTGTTCCAAACTTGGCCTTGTTGAATACTGTATCACTATCACTGTCATCCTGTTGTTCATCAATTTTCTAAATCACCCCTTTGTAGTCCTTTGTCCTAGCACTGAGCTTTTAGAAAGTGCCACATTCGAGGCCCTTTCAGGGTCAGGGGAGTGAGACCCATCCTTGTTACTGGGTTTTGACATATTGAATATGCCACAGGGAGTTTGCCAGACTCTGCCATGTGGGCGGGCAGGATACTCTTGGTAGCCTGCCGGGTTCTTCCAGAGTAAGAACTAGATACTAAGAAGTCCTGTGGCCACAAATGCAGCCACATGCTTCCGGAAGCTGGTGAGAGAAATGTGAGAAATGGTGAGAGAAACATGAGAAATGTAAGCTAGAGTCATTGTCCAATAGCCAGAAGATCAAGTGGAAAAACATCTCAAGAAAAGTTGAGTTTGGTCGGGCAAATATTGAAAAAAAGAATTCCAGGGAAGCATGAAGGGACAAAGGAGATCTTTTTAGAAAGGACTACAAAGGGGTGGTTTAGGAGAATATGCTTGTTCAGGACCAACCTTTAATGACAGAATGATAAAGAGATGAATTGATGAATCAAGCCAATACCCTCTTTTTATAGTCTAAAGGAGACTTGAAAATATTAAAAATCAGCAAGAGGCATCATGAATATTTTTTTAAATGTTGAAAACTTAAAGGGAGGCACAGAAGGGTAGAAGAGAAGCCTAAGCCCAACCTAAGCAGTAAACCCTGAACAATGCCAAAAAATTAAAATTAAATCATGCCACCCTAGAACTCTGTTTCCTTAAAAAACAGAATAAAGAATAAATCAATAATATTTTTCACTTTGGATTTTCTATTCAAGCAGCCCCCAATCATCTTGAATTTACGATAGAATCAAGCACCCTTAGGTACTATATGAATGGTAAATAGATCTAAACTGATAGGATTGTGTGTGTGTTCTGTTCCCAGGAGAGAGACAGCTCCCATAGTGGAAGAAGCGTGGTTATTTAGTCACCAGGCACAGCACAACTTCTGTGACTGCTACTGTGACTGCTACTAGCCTCCCAGGTGTCATCACCATCACCAAGAGTTCCAGCTGACTTGGAAGGGAATTTCCAGTTTACAGTTTCAGATCTGTAACTAACAGTTTTGCTTTGATTCTCAGAATAAAATAAAAAATAGTAAATACAAGAGTAAAAAAAGTAATAACGTTTTTCATCCTTGGTTCATATTCTCTGCTTATTTAGGTAATCTTTGATTTGTTTTATTTTGTAACATGGTTACGGTACCTCTGGAACATCTTAGAAACCTGAGTCTTCAACTAGGTTACACCACTCAAAACACTAGTCATCTCTTGTGTAATCTCCTATGCTGGGTGTGCTGTGAGTGACCACACGTTAACGGGTGTTCTTAGGCTCTCCAGGGGGCTCTCTCACTGCCCGCATTTGGTGCTCTCAAAATGCCTCCCCACCTGGGATGGCCGTTGCCATGGGTGGACAAAGGAGGAACGAAGGCCAAACTGGTTAGTGATCAGTTGCCACTTATTCCCTCGTCTCTCCCAAACTCTCTCCATAACTCTCACAACTCTCTCCCCAACTTGCCCCCAACTCTATCCAACTCTTTCCCAGCTCTCTCCAACCCTCTCTCTAACTTGCTACACAACTGTTCTCTCCAACTCTCCCCCAGCTCTCACTGCAGCAATTCTGTTTCTCACTCTCCCCTGCAGTCCTCCTTAATCGCCTCTTCTCTCACCATGCCTCCCAAACCACGCCTCTCCCCAGAAGGTCAATCAACATGTTTATCGAGCCTTCCTGACCACCTGCAGCCCACAAGGGTAAAACAACACTTATGACACGTTTCTCCTTTCCTTAATTAACTTAGTTAACATTTTAATTCTATGTCCTAATATTTGCCATTCTGTATGGACACAGTGATAGGCACATTTAGGCTTGGGGACATTTCGCCACAGACTCAGACTACAGTGCTCAGGCCGGATTAACCATTCCTAACCATAGCTTAAACCTAATCTAGTTATTACTTTTTGGATAATGATAGAATTTGTCCATGACCATGCTCTTAACTTATAGTTAAGCATTATAGTACTTTGGCCAGGCCCATTTTGATGCCAGGGTAGGTCACCGCTTGCTCTGGGTCCATCCAGTCCCTCGTTGGGGACCTCCTTTTGGGGATCTAGGAAGTAAGGACAACTAAGGCTTTAGTCGAGAGAGCAGATGTCCAGGAGGTAATATTATCTGGAGTCAATTAACTCCCCCGTTACAGGCTTGTCTTTTTTAACTATCTTCCCGTGTTCATACAAAAAGTAATTGCTTGGAAGTAACTCACCATGGAAATGACATTAAGGAGAAGAGAAAAACAATATCTACAAGTCAGAAGGGTCTGATCAGGAGACAAAGGTAATTGACAAGTTGGGGGAGCAATCAACAAACCCAAGCTCCCTGTGGCCAGGGAGGAAGGGCAAACCAATGTTATCCTACAATCTCTCAAAGTGAGAGCTCAGGGATATTTAAATGAAATCTAAGAAGTTTAATAAAGAGGAAATCTATGAACTATTACAGTGTTACACAGGTCCTTGCTTCCCATCATGGCTGGTCTACGAAGTTCTTCTGTGTTTGGAGTCTAGTTTGATGCCTCAAGTCCTCTTGGACTTGTGTGCTCTTGAGGATCAATAAAAAGTCTACTAGAAAATACTCCAGCAAAATTCCCTCTAATGGGATATGTATTGCAAGTGTAGAAAATCACAGAGAAACAGTTCGGCTTCAGTCTTATTCATGTCTCTTGTTTTCTTCTTTTTCTTTTTCTCCCCTACATCTAATTTCTATTTTCACTTTTAAAAATTTTTACTTGAGGCAGAATGATTTACAATATTTACTAAGATTTCATGCATACATCATTCCAACACCACACCCTCCACTTCTTTCTACTATTGACTCAGTGTCAAAGTGAGTGTGTATCTACTGAAATCACTTTACTTGTTGGGAACTACATAATATATAAATGAACAAGAAAGAAAATGTACTGGTCTGAAGGTTCTGCTCTACATAAACATTTACTTAGAGGCACTTGATTGGTTTAAGCTTTTTTTCTCACTGAAACCCAAAGAAAAGTTAGACCAACCTAGGAAGCTCTGGAGCTGTCTCCCTCCTACATCACCAACCGAGCAGAATTGAGATTTCCCAAGCAGAATTACTCAGACAGGTCTTTTCAATCAGGGTTCCAGAAAAAAGGGCTGTGGCTTCTCTCTAAATAGGTTTTACCATGCCTTCCACTTTTTCCAATATTTTAGTGACTTTACATGAATCCCTTTGTGGTTAACATAAAGATCCTGCTTGAACAGACTGAAAGATGGCCCCAAATGAGTTTTGCATATCTGTGTATGTTGAACAGTAGCTTAATGTATATGACTATAAGCTCAATTTTAATTGTTTTTCCCCAATGTCATTAATATGTTATTAATTACATATTGGAGAAAATAGGTTAAGTGTCTGCAAATGGACTACATTTTCTCTGGGATTTCTAATTTCATACAGCAGCTAAATTAACAAAATGAAAAACATTAATGGAGAATGAAGACATAAAGTTCAGTGAGTGAAAGATTTCTAGTTTGGACAAGGATGGCAAGGTCTTTTTCCCTGTTTCTCTAGCTTAGCTCTACTAGCTCTACTTTATAAGCCCGGGAAATGGCACAAGAAGCAAGCAAAGGAAAACTAAAAGATACTAAGAAGGTAAGCTGTTATGAAAACCTGGCCACCTGAAAAATAACACAAAGGCAAAGCACTCCTCATTCTTCACCCAATATTTCTCATTCCTCACCCAACAGGAGGTGACTACATAGACATGGTATTTCCCTACTTCTCACCAAGGAACACAAAGTAAATCAGTTATTTATTCTACCCCCCCGGATTTAATAAAGAGTTCTCCCAGCAACCTCAGGTAAAAGAATAAACTGGGAGCCCTGCCAAAACTAAGTGACCCCATGAAGCACTTTCCTTTCATATTGAGCCAGGGACACTTATTTTCTATTGAGAGATTCTAAAGTGCATGGGAGGCAGAGCCACCACCCAGTTAAAAATTTAACTCCAGTTGTACAATACAATTAAATATTATGAACTTCCTGGAGTTCATGGCCACATTGGCAACCTTACAACATATCTAAACATACAACACTGACAATCAAGTATTAGTACCCCAAATTGGATGTGATGAAATGTAGAAGCCAACTATCCTCAACTAACATAAACATTGATACAGAAGGCTTAATTTATAACAGCATCTTAATAAGCCCACATACAAGGACTTAATATCACCAAGGTGAGATAAACACTTTATAATTTTATTCTAAGGGAATATTTTATTTATTTATTTATAATCGAATCACCATATGACACACAGTTACAAAGCTGTTCATGATTGGGTTTCAGTCATACATTTCATCAGCCATCCCTTCACCAGTGTACATTTCCCACCACAGATGTTCCCAGTTTCCCTCCCTCCTCCTCCCTCCAGACTGCCTCTACTTACTCTAGCTCTTTCTCTCAATCACTTCACCACCATCACCACTGCCCGCCTTTACTTTTGGGCATTATGGTTTGCACTACAGATGCTGAAAGCATACTAGGTATATCCATTTACCTACTTTCAGCACCCAGATCCTGGAGGGCAGCCAGGGTAAAGAAGGATACTACGACAAAGATAGTTGGAAATGATCATTCTGGCTAAGAAAATATTTTATGGTCATTCCACTTAATCACTTAACTTCCCATTAGTCGTCGATATGCTCGAACGGGCGGCAGTAACGTCTCCATTTGTCCCTGTCGCGTGCTAGTGTAGCCCAATGGCATCTGTTCCCTCCGGGAACATGAAGGGCCTAAAAGCGATTGTTCATGATCTTGACGAAGAAATCTGACCATCTGGTAGGTGGGCGGCCACGCGGTCTTTTGACATCCCGTGGAATCCAGTCAGTAACAGCTCTAGTCCGGCGGTCGTCTTTAAATCTCATTACGTGACCAGCCCATCTGATTTTCGACACCTTGGCAAATGAGACAGCGTCCCTGATTCTTGATCGTCGACAGATGTCAGAACTCCGGATTCTTTCTCTCATTTGAGTGAAACGTGATATTCCAAGCATAGCTCTTTCTATTCTTCTTTGGGAGACCTGAACAGCGTTCTCATCTTGTTTGCGTAGGGCCCAAGTCTCTGAGGCATATATTAATGCAGGAAGAACAGTGGAATCAAAGAGATGTGCCTGGAGCCGGAGGTTCTTTGTCCTCTTAGCTATTTCTTCGACGTTCTTGAAGGCATTCCAAGCCGCTCTCTTCCTCCTGCGCAGCTCGGGTGCCAGGTCATTTGTCATGTTGACCTCTCGACCTAGGTACACATAGCTGTTGCATTCGGAGATGGTCGTTCCGTTGAGAGCGAATGGGGCATCAGGAACGAGGCTGTTTCTCATAAACATTGTCTTCGTAAGATTCAGCTGTAGTCCCACCTTTCCACACTCACGGTCAAAGTCGGCCAGCATTTGTGCTGCTTGGCTGATGTTTGGTGTTATTAAAACAATGTCATCAGCAAAGCAGAGGTGGTGTAGTTGCCGACCATCTATCTTCACTCCCATTCCTTCCCATTCCAGTCGTCGCATGATGTTCTCGAGGGTGGCACTGAAGAGTTTTGGTGAAATGGTATCACCCTGCCGCACCCCTCTCTTGACATCAACGATCACTTCTTTGTAGAATGGTGAGATCCTGGTAGTGAATCCGCAATACAGCTCACGGAGGATCCTGATGTATTGGGCTTGAATACCCTGATTGGCTAGGGCTTTAATGACCGCTTCCGTCTCAACAGAATCAAAGGCCTTCTTTAAATCAATGAACGTTAGACGGAGCAGCATCTTGAACTCCCAAGAAACCTCAATGAGCTTGGTTATCGTGTGGATATGGTCGATGGTGCTGAATCCTTTGCGGAACCCGGCTTGCTCGCATGGTTGTACTTCATCTAGT